GCGGCGCCCAGCTGATGCCGGTACCGGGCCGCGGCATAAAAAAGGTTGGGGATCACTGATTTAGAGTGTGTCTGAGTGAGTCTCTGTTTCCTTCTGTTGAAGAGTATTGCCGTTCCTCCATTTTTCCTAATTGACTGATATTCATGGATTTGATGTAAGTCTGATACTGAACTGTTTTTGACATTGGAATTTGTTATTGGATTATCCCTGGATTGAAAACTGACTGATCTTACCTGTGAATGATTTTGGACTGCTTATCTTGAACTTTGCTTACACGTTTCTGGAAGTAAAAACCTACATTTACTGTACAGTGTATCTGTGTGCTGTGTGTGTATTATATAAACATTACTCTCAAATACGTCTCCCTGTATGCGCTCATTCTCCTAACGGGGAATTACCTCAACACTATTTGTTGCCTGTTTGACAGGAATGCAGTAATCCACTTATGGAGGGATCCAGAAATGCTGTAAGAGTTTAGTTTTAACAGTAGTTTGTCGTGTACCACTGAATCAAATGCTTTGCAGAAGTCTATGTAAATTGCATCTATAGCTTTACCCTGGTCAAGTAGAGTAGTCCATATGTTTTTGCAGTGTAGGAGTTGTAGATTGCAGGACAATTTTTTCCTGAAACCAAATTGTTTTTTGGAGAGTAGGTTGTTTGACTCTAAGTGGAGAGTGATGAATTGGTTAATGATTGATTCCATGACTTTGCACGTGACACAACACAGTGAGATTGGTCTGTAGTTTTCAACCAGGCTGGGGTCACCTTTTTTGAAGATAGGGTTGACCGTAGCTAAGGACCATAGGGTTGGAAAGGAGCTGGTTCTGAATGATATCTCCTATATAATGCTTAGGGGTTCCGCTATGGCAGAGGAGAGCTTTTTTAAGAAGTATGCACATAATCCATCTGGGCCAATAGATAGGGATGGTTTTAGGTTTCATAGTGCCTTTTCTACGTTATCTTCTGTAATGTCAATATGTAGTACGTTATTACAGTTAGTTGTGATACGACTAGGAAATATGGGGCATGAACCATTGCTGTTTACAAAGACTGAACTGAAGAATGTGTTGAAGAGATTGGCCTTCACAGCTTCATCATTGCAGTCTTTCCCATTTGGTCCTTTTAGGGGTGGGATGGTTCTTGATTCTTTAAGTTTGGTGTTAACAAAATTGTAGAAGGGGTGGGTGGATTTTGTACATAGGAGGTTTTCCTCTTGCTTGCAGTGGTAATTTGTGCATTCTGCCTTTATCTGTCGGCATAGGGTGTTGTATTGGTTTTTAAAGTTTGCTACGTAGCTAGTTTTGTTTTTAAAAACAAAAATTAGTTTAGTTTTTGATTTTTAGTGTCAAGAGAAGCATCCCAAAGGAGAAATTGAGTCTTGGGTCAGGACAGGTGATGCAGAAACCCTTCATGGCAGGTTTTGCACTCAAATGGCAGGTTTTGCACTCAAAGCAGGTTTAGAAGGTGCTCCAATACAAGATGTTTTATCATTGTCATTTAGCCCCAACAAGACTTGCAAAAATATATCCAAATTTAAACCCTAATTGCTGGAAATGTAAACAGGCGCAAGGTACCTTTTTCCATGTATGGTGGCTTTGCCCGGAAAATAAAAAATACTGGATCAAAATACAAAAATGGTTAAATGAAATTACACACTGCCGAATAGAATTGAAGCCAGAACTGTTTCTATAGGGGATTATTAAGGGAACGTGTCCTAAAAAGATTAAATATTTGATCTTACACATCACCACAGCAGCGAGAATTGCACTCGCACAATCTTGGAAAATGGCTACTATACCAACAGATTGTTTAGTAATCAAAAAAAAAATGTCGATCGTGCAGAAATGGACAAACTAGAATTAAACAATAAGGAAGACTCAGAATATTACTCAATTTGGGATAACTGGTATCAATGGATAGATAGTAGGAAAATGAAGTGGATAGATCAGAATAAGATATAAACATGTATATGTATATGATTAATTAGAAATGTATGAAAATGTATGAATATAGCTAAGATTTTTAATACTGTCAAAGAATGATGGAGAATTGTACACATATATATTTTTAGGACTTATTTTTATTTTAACGTTTCAAATTTCAGTAAAGGCTTAAAATTAAAAAAAGGAAGAAAGAAGGCACTCCAGATTCTCACCGATCCCCGATTTCCTTTTCACAGGTGGGGGCTTCCCTGTTTGCCAGTAATGTTGGCAGCGGGCATTTCATCGGCTTGGCTGGCTCTGGGGCAGCTTCTGGAATTGCTGCCACGGCCTACGAATGGAATGTGAGTATCATTTTTATGGTCCCTTTTATCCTGGCTGGCACAGGGCAGGGGGCAAAGTTTTCCTCTAACCTGCAGGTTCATCTCTCTATTTCCTGGGCCTGATTTGACTGATCGAAGGAGATTGCAAGCTTTCCCAGGAGCTGTTTAAAGAAGTCAGCAAAAGTGTTGTATTTTTTTTGTGAAGAGCTGATCCTCCTTCTTCCCAGCTCTGGTGCCTGGCTAGAGGCATCTTGGATTGAGTCAGTCTTTGCACACCTGGAGTATAGAGACAAGTGAACGGAACACTGAAACAGAATAACAGTGTTGGAAGGGACCTTGGAGGTCTTCTAGTCCAGCCCCCTGCACAAGCAGGAGATTCTATACCTTTTCAAACAAGTGGCTGTCCAGTCTCTTCTTAAAAACCTCCAGTGATGGAGCGCCCACAACTTCTGGAGGTAAGTGATCGCAGTTGTCCAGTATTTGAGGGGCTGCTCCAGAGAGGAGGAAGGGGTCAAGCTCTTTTCCAAAGCACCCGAAGGCCAGACAAGGAATAATGGATGGAAACTGAACAAGGAGAGAGATTCAACCTGGAACTAAGGAGACATTTTCTGACAGGGAGAGCATTCAACCCATGGAACAGAAGTTCTGGGAGCTTCATCACTGGAGGCTTTCAAGAAGAAAGCGGCCTGCCATCTGTCAGAAATGGTGTAGGGTCTCCTGCTTGGGCAGGGGGTTGGACTAGATGACCTACAAGGTCCCTTCCGACTCTGTTAATCTGTTATCTGCAGGTTTTCGGAGGGAGGGGTCTTCCGTCTCCCTAATGGCTCTGTGGTCTCTCCTTAGGGGATGTTTTGTGTCCTGGTGCTGGCGTGGCTGTTTGTTCCCATCTACCTTGCAAGCGGGGTAAGTGAGTCAGTGCCCAGAAAGCCTCCTCTGCTCTCCTGGAGAGTCGAGCCCTTCTCGATCGCACCTGCCCTTTCTTCCGCCTTTACCTTCACCCAAGAAGGGCCTTGTGCAGCCAGGCCATAGGGCAGAGCCTCTGGGATTTGGCTCCCTGTCCAAAGGGGGCGTGCATAAGCGCACCAACGTGCCTACCGTCCCTGTCCTATTGTTTCTCTTATTCTTTTATTTTTCTTATATGTAACCATTTCATGTATTCACAACTATGTATACATTTATACTTATTATCTTGTAAACAATTGGCAAATCAAATAAATAAAAATAAATAAAATAAATAAAGGGGTTGGAAATGCCTTCCTTCCTTTCTTAAAGCGCTTTGAGCAAGTGCATCTCTCCGCCTCTTTGCCCTGCTGCCAAGACCGGGCACTGTCAGTTCCTGAACGCACCTCTTCATGCATCCCTGGGTCTTAGCATCTTTAGAGGCCCCCAAGGTGGCTTATATTCCATAATATCAGAGGTGGCATTCAGCCGGTTCTGACCAGTTCTGGAGAACCGGTAGCGGAAATTTTGAGTGGTTTGGAGAACCGGCCAATCCCGCCTCTGACTGGCCCCACCAACCCCATCTCTTCTCTGCCTCCCATTGAGTCCCAGCTGATTGGCTGGGTCTCCTTTGGTTGCCCTGCCCAGGAGAACGGAGCTGGAAAGCAGGTTAGTGGGAAGGGGAGGGAAGGGGATTTTGCAGTGACCTTCCCTTGCCACGCCCACCAAGCCACGCCCACCAAGCCAAGCCAAGCCACACCACGCCCACCAAGCCACGCCCACAGGACCGGTAGTAAAAAAAATTGAATCCCACCACTGGAAGGAAGACAGGAACAAAAGGGGAAGGAAGAGAGGAAGGAAAGAGATGGAAGACAGGAACAAAATCAGTGATGGGATTCAAAAACTTTTACTACCGGTTCTGTGGGCGTGGCTTAGTGGGAGTGGCAGGGGAAGGATACTGCAAAATCCCATTCCCTCCCCACCCCCCTAACCTGCTTTCCAGCTCCGTTCTCCTGTGCAGGGCAACCAAAGAAGACCCAGTCAATCACCTGGGACTCAATGGGAGGCAGAGAATAGATGAGGTTGGCGGGGCCAGTCAGAGGTGGGATTGGCCGGTTCTCCAAAAGACTCAAAATTTCCACTACCGGTTCTCCAGAACCGGTCAGAACCTACTAAATACCACCTCTGAACAAAAGGGGAAGGAAGAGAGGAACAAAGGGAGTTGAACTTCCCACATCTTAAAGTTGTCAACGTTAAGAAGCTCAGAGTGGAGGGGGGAGGGGCTTCCCACACCACTGTCCTTCACACCTGGACTGTAAACCCTTCAGACTGGGGATTGACCAGTCCTTACTCTAAGTTTTTATTATACAAGGAGAAAGACCAACTTGTGAAATTAGTAATGGGTCAAATGCCCCCTTAGCTGGTGTGCATAACTAGCAATTCTCAATGAATTCCAACTAGGAGGCTGAAGGAGAAACAGGTCTACCTCTGTTTTACACCCCATTTGCTCCCTCTAG